GCTTTTTCCTCGATTTCTTTAAGGGAATTTTTCAATTCCTCATTAAGGGACTCTATCATCTTCTTAAAATCATTTTTAAGGTTGATTTCTTATGCTTCTTCTGTTTTGGGATGTTTAGGTCTTGCTGATATAGAACCACTAAGTTCTGGTTTTGTCATATTGGTCTTTATGTTGTTGACTGTATTTTTGCACTGGTGTCTACCTATCTCTTCCTCTCTACTCGGTGCAAGTGGTGTCTGTGTTTGAGGGAGCCTTTCTTGGTCCAATGAGAGCCCTTGTTCCAACAGGAGCTCTTGGTCTAATTGGGGTTCTTTGGTCCAATTGATGCTGATGGACTCTGTTTCTTAGAGAGCAGCTATGGTTTTGGAGAGTGGGTCAGTTTGGGAGGTGGGTGGGGCTTGTAGATTACAGGGTCTGGTGAGGGATGGTAGTAGTCCGACCTGTTTACTGGCCTGAAACTGAGACTGCAATAGGAGGTGGTGTGGGTTTACAGGGTTTTGTCCCTGGGTCCAAAGCCTGGAGACTGTGGTGTTCGACTATGAGAACAAAAACTCACCTCTTGGTCCAGTTGGTGCTGGTAGGCTCTGCCTCTAGTTTGGTTTTGTCTTTAGTTTTATTTTTTTACAGGAGCCAAGAGATAGGAGATTATGGTCTTTTGAAGAGTCTTTATATTAAAGAGACTGAAATTTTCAAGTATTTTAACTTGTTAAAGACTGAAGGGCTTTTACAATTATGTATTTTTAAGTATCATGAGATTAATTGATACCTAGGGAATAACCAAGAAAGGAAATATTATGGCTTAATAGTGAAGAATTTATGTGAATTTAGTAAGTAAACAATGATGTTGATTGGTAATTTGGCCATTTGATCTAAACTAGGGTTATCTGGAAGGAGGTAACTGACTGAGAAACTGGTTCTATCTGACTTGTCTGTAGGGAATATTGTGGTACATTTTCTTGATTAATGTTTAATTTGTCAGAGCCCAGCCCACTAGAGTTCCTGTCATACTTGTTCAGGTTATATTGTTCAGCTTAATGACCCCTGGATTTAAAGCTAGTGATCAACTTCCCTCTATAGCCTTAGTGTCAAATCTTGTCTTGAGGCTCCTTCCTGGAGTTGGAAAGTGTAAGCTGAAATAAACCCCTTCTTCCAAAGTAGCTTTTGATCATATTACTTTGTCACATTAGTAAGTAGATAGTTATGTGCTGGAGAAAACTTTCTGATGATCGTTATCAGGCAAGCCTTTCCATGAACCATGCAAGTAAGAATAATAGAAACTGGGGCATTGTCAGGAGCCAAGTAGCCTAACTGATTCTCATGGGAAAAAGCTCTGTACCTAACCTTCCGTTAACAGTTTCAATAGCAACCATTTTTCAACAAAACCACAGTATGTACTTTTAGGTTAACTTCCTGAAACATGATGGTCTGCTGCATGGTCTGTTGATCAAGCCCTGGAACAAAGAGACCTTTCCCTGAACCCTACCCTACCCTAACTTCCTCCTAGTAATTTTCCATACCCCTATCTACTTCTCCTAGCTCCCAGCATATATAAGACTGACTCCCCTTGCAATAAATGAGACCTTGACGCGACTCAGACTGACTTTGTCTTCCTTTATGTGCCTGGTCTCCTTTCTCTCTCACCCCCATTGATCTTTCAGGAGGTGCCTCCTCAGGTCTCACCCAATAACCTGGCCCGTGGGATGGGTCAGGGCATGGAGATGGTCCAGATGAAATTTGTTCTTTGAGAATTGACCAAGGAAGGCTAGTTCTTTGGCCTCAAGGCTAGGCAAGACCCCAAAGTGTAGGGATGACACTGGTAGTCAACCTTAAAAGGAGCTCAACAGGCAAGGCTGGTAGAGAGTGAAAGCTTCTGCAGGTAAGACTTGGAGTACCGAGAGACCTCAGGAAGACTGCATTCAGGCAGAAGAACTCTCTAGAAAATGTGGGTGCAGGTGGCACATGGCCAGAGCTACTTCTGAGAGGGTGAGAATGACAAAAACAGGTGATTTTATGTGAAGATCAACAGGCAAACTTGGTGCATGATAGGTGCAATTACAAAGAGGCCTTGAACTGTGCAGATGATTAAGGTAGGTTTGGTTCTGAAGGGAGGATGCTGCAGAGGAAGCAAGTGTGGGAGCTGCTAGACAGGATCATCTTGATTCTGTAGTAGTGTGACTTGGAAAAAATCAACAAGATCTGGATGACCACCTCTAAATCTAGGAGGGTGGAAATGAAAGGGGTTGGAAAGGTTCAAGATGTCTGAGGAGACTACTTGTTTATATCTGAATTGAGAATCACAAGTTACACCTGAGGTTGTAGATTTGAAATGAGCAGGGTCTGTACTGGAAACATTTATAAGATATGACCACTAGGGGTGCCTACATTACTTTGACTAGCTCTGGATTGTGAAAATGCTGCTTACAGGAAATGCTTCTTTGGAACTCACAGAGCAAATACATTATACAATCTGCAAACCCAGTGCTAGAGCATTAGACAAGAGAATATTACAGCTTCTGGGTAGTTCCATCAGGCACAGCCAATATGCTTTCTGTGCATCTGGAGGTAGGCATTGGATAGTGGACATGATACAGGACTTATTTCCGGAGAACTCTGCATAGAAATCTGTTGCAGCAACTGCATCTCCATAGCTAGGCCTGAGAGTGTTGAGAAGGCACTGGTACACAAGGACTGGGAAAACACACCAGGCCAATTATGTGTTAGATCCCTGCAAACACAGTGTGGAATTGATATTTGGAAATAGATTGGGTGGGGTTGATGAAACTCAAATGTGAATTCTGGTGTAGGAGTTGCATGACTACTGGTTGAATTGAAAGTGCAGTTTTGATACTATGAAGTGACATTCTTGGGGAATCCCCAGGCAAAGCTAGTGTGCAGTCTGCCATTCCAGAGATGGCAGAGGTCAGTTGACTGTCATAAGGAAAGCTGATGTCTGATTTTGCATCCAAGTCTAGAGCTTTGTCTGGGGAGATTATGTAGGTGTATGTGGCACAGGTACACTCATCAGGAAAATCTTACTAACTGTGTGATTACAAGTAGGCCTGGGGGCATGGAGATAGCTCTGAGAGCCGAGATTAAGCAATGTTTGCATCCATTGGTAAATATCAGAATATGCAAGACATGAGACAGAATCAGTTCTCATGGTACCTGACAGAGAAAATCAGTGAGGGAACTTGTGTCACCAGAGCAAGGCCAGGGAATAAGGGAATGGCACTGGACATAGTGGGTTATGGGGAACAACATCCTACAAATAAATGCTTGACCTGTGTTCCCAAAGAAAGGACTTGGGAATGTGAAGAGGAGAATGGCATGAATGTGTGTCTTATGGATCCACCAGAGAAAGCTGGTACAGGAACTATATGACCAGAGCTACTAATGAGAGTGGTAAGATTATACAGAAGGTTAAGTTGTGGTCCAGAGCACCAGAAAAATCTGACATATGATCCTCTCGTCAACAGCCAGACCTTGCAGTGTGAAGACTGTTCTGATAGGCCTGACTTTAAAGGAATCCAGAAGGGAATCCATATAGAAGCAGAGACATAGTAAATAGTCCATGGAGGATAGGCATGACCCTGGTGGATAAAGCTATGTAAATCTAACAAGGAAAATCAGAAATCCTAGGCCTTCTATATATATATTACAAGTATGTAGATTGGTTTTCTTGTGGGACTCCTAACAGTGGGAACAGGGGCTGTCTCCGACTATGTTGCCTACTTTTGGGACCCTTTCCTCCTACCAGATTGCCTCATCCAATCTTAATAAAAGAGGAGGTGCTTAGCCTCACTGCAACTTGATATACAATGGGTGGGTGAAATCCATGGGAGGCCTGTCCTTTTCTGAAGAGAAAGAGTGGATGGGAGTAAGAGGGGATGATGGAGGGGGATGGGTTGCCTTATAGACTGCTGGGAGTTTCCATTACAATAGGTTTTAGCTCATCCCAGAGATGTTCCAAAATCCAATGACACCCCCCATAATCTTTTCCTCCACCTCCCCCCTGACCTGATCCCTCCTGTTCCCATTCCTAGCATTCATATAGACCACTCCCCATCCACCAGTGATGACTATCCTATTACACTTTGACAGTGAGATAGTCAAGTGCCACCTTGAGCCCTCCTTGTTAATTAGCTTCTCTGAGCCAATGGATTGTAGCATGGTTATCCTTTACTGTAAGGCTAATATTCACTTTTAAGTGAGTACGTATGATTTTTGTCTTTCTGTGTTTATGTTATGTCACTCAAGATGCTCTTTTCTAGTTCCAACCATTTGCCAGCAAATTTCTTTTACTCTATGAAATGAACTTTATTCTATGGACACAGAGGATGGAAATGTGAAATGGAGTAGGTTTGGGGCTAGTAAGATTGCCCAGTGGCTAAGTGAGTTTGCCATCAAACTTAATGTGAGTTTGAACCCAATGATTCAGAAGGTAAAACAGGAAAAATAACTCAAACAAGCAGTCCACTTATCTCCAGACCACTTGTTCTGCATGGCTATTTGTGATATTCACAAACAGAAAGACAGTAGATGCCCACTGCCCATTGTACAGCATCACCTTTCTACTCCATGCAAAGGGCTGTCCCTAGAGCCAACAATAAAGAAGTCCATATCTGCCCTCATTAGACCTGAGGTCTTCAAACAGAACTGTGGTTATTTTTCATTGTTTAGGTGCAGCTACCTTACAAACTTTCTTTCACTTGGTATTTGTCCTGTTTGTTTACAACATGCCTTTCACCATTACTTTTGCCTGCAACTGCTGGTTAGAAATATCTGAACACATGATTATGGCCTTCAGAGTTTAGGATGTGAAAACATTCAAAGAAAGGAACACTTTAGAAAGATAAAGGAGGAAGTAATTTAGACACATCCAGAGAATCAAGTTGATGCTTTATTTAGAATTAATTGATGATTACGGGAGTTCTGTGCATGAATAGCAAATTTGTTCGAGGCACCTTCTGACAGATGTTTCAAATGCAGGAGCCCTCACTTCAGACCTCTTGTTCGGCCACTATGTAAGCACACTGGACCTTCACCTGACTCTGTAGTTTCAAAGAGCTTATCTCAGAGAAAAGGAAGATCACACCAAAGAGTGACATGATGGTTGTCAGTACCGCTGTTGGGAAGATAGCAGTATACTGTTTGTTTATCAATGCTTCTTTTCTAACAGGAAAGTTAGGCGGAAAGTCAAGAGTGGTTTGTCCATAATGATCTGCGAAGTGGTTCCAGCTCACGGAAACAAATGTGAAGAGGCTGCTAACGCACAAAACTAAGGCAGAGACCTTGTAGCAATGTATCTCCATCTCGACGAATGGGTCTTCAATGCAGCTGATCTTAATGGCGACTGCACCAAAAATCAGAACTACAAGCTTCATCAGAATGGCCCACACTATCATGGTCTGCGCATACTGAAATTCAGGTGAAATTGTCCAGGTGGAATTGATAGGAGTATGCACCAGCATCTTGATTACAGTCCCTGAGACATTAAACTCTTGAGGGTAGTAAGCTTCCCACAGTCCAAAGGACACAAATTGCACAACCTTGTTGTCGAATTCCCACAGGCGCCAGCATTGACTGCTTGCAATGACTATCTCAAACACCAAAGCTGATAGGCCGCAAAGGAGGCCACTCAGCTTGAAGATGCATTCCATTGCATTGGCAAATCTGAAGAAGAGATTGAACAGGGATATAGTAAAGTAAGGAACACAGGGGAAGTTGGGAATACAAAATGAGTCATGGTTTACAGAGCACTATACTCTCATACCTTGTCCCTGCTGTCATGTAGTTGTATTTAAGTAGTCTACCTATGTACTGGAGTTCAACATTCTACAGATAAGAGTGTAAAAAGCCCTAAACTCCATGGTTCCATCTATAAGAGGTTTTGGTGAGCAATTTCACTCTGTCTTTCAAATTTATCTTTCAAATTTCACTCTATCTAACAAATGAGTACATTTGTTACTAAGAATTTTTTTCTTGTTTCACACATCAATTCATTTAAAATTATGAATTAAATGAAAAATAAGTAAAACCTCTGAAATTTTTCATTCATACTTCTGATAGGCTTCACTTCTAATTGTAATACTTATAACTTCTTTAAACCAAAAATGAATGAAGATTTAGCCCAAATAACAAAACTGTATTTGTTTTATTTATACTTCATATTTTGAGATTGATGTGGTGGGGCTGCAGAGATGGCTCAGCACTTAAGATCACTGGCTGCTATTCCGGAGGACCTGAGTTCAATTCCTAGCACTCACAGGGTGGATCACAACCATCTATAACTGCAGTCCTATGGGATCTGATGCCCTCTTCTGGTATGTAGATATACATGCAGACAAAACCCCATATAAAAATCAATCAGTATGTAAATAAATAGTATTTTCTAAAAAAATATCTATGGAAGATAGGCAGTGGTGGTATATGCCTTTAATTCCAGCACTTATGTGGCAGAGGCAGACAGACCTCTGTGAATTCGAGGCCAGACTGATCTACAGAGTGAGTCCAGGACAGCCAAGGTTACAGAAAGCAACCCTGTCTCATAAAAACAAAAAGAAAAAAATCAGTGTCGTTTTGTTTTCATTTTCTTTTTTGATAGCAGTTTTGTTGTAATGCAATATGTAAGTGAAAAGGTGATAGATATTGTTTGAATTACTCTGTTAATAAAATTGCCTTAGATTTGCATTAACCAAATTCACATTTTCTGAGTTATACTGAACAATATCTTTTTAAAACAATTGTGTTTCCTTTAAGAACATTTTCTAATGAAATATATTATATTCAGATTTAGTGGCTCTTGATATATAAAATCTTTGTTTACAGAAAAATATCAGTTGGGGGTAGACAAGATGGCTCAGTGGATGAAGTCACCTGCCCTTCTGTCTGACAACCTGAGTTTTATCCCTGGGACCCACATGATGGAAGAAAAGAACCATACCTACAAATTGACCTCTGACATCAATGTGCATGCTGTGGCAATAATCACATCTACACACACACAAATAAATTTAAAAATGTAACTTATAGTTTTAAAAGCAAGTTCAACGAGAATTTTCACTTTGAGAATAATTATTTCACTATTTCTTTGTATTTATCCTTCACTCTGAGGCAAACTGAATATAGAAAGTCACCCAAACTGCCACTTCATCAAAAGGAGCCTTTTAAATATACCTACTAAGAACCACAAAAGTCATCAATTTTATGACATTCCAAGTAAATCCAAATCTATTTTCCTAAGCATCTTCATTAAACTGTAGAAGATTAAGGAGAGCGCCTCAAAACTCATTCCAGAAAACAAAGCCTATGAAGAATATAATTATTAGTTATTTCTCTAAATCTCCTTTCCAAGAATCTCAACTGGATTAAGTATTCAGCACCTTAGGATTAAAGCTGTGTATCCCTGTAGCTATCGCTGCACACATCTCCACCTAATCAAAGATTAACTTCCCGAGGAAGTAGATCAAAGCTTTAGTTCCTTGTGGGTATCTGATAATAAAACCACCAAGGTAAATAGGAGTCTTTCTGCACTTACCAAATCAGCATAAACACCTAAGCCACATTAGATAAATCAGCCTTCTGTCACACATTAAGGAATAGATTTATTTTCAAATAGTTTCAATTCCATTACTTGAAATTCCTTTATCAGAAGCATTTGTGAGGAACAACAAAAGCTTACCATTATTGAAGAGAGACTTATTGTAGGAAGAAACTTCTGGAAACAATTCTTTCCTCTGGGTATTTTTAAAGACTTTGAATCTTCAGAAGATTTATCTTTGCATAGCTTAACTAAACAGTCAAACAGGAGGAAACAGCTTGGGTTTTATAAAAGATTTTCCTCAAGACTTGGAGACTTTAGAGGAGCCAATATTTATAATATCATGAGAGCGAATGAAAAAGTTCTTCTAAACTTTGGTGATCTTTTAATCTCAACTTAATTAAGAAAGAGTGAAAAACTTTCAATATATGACAACTGTGTATGAAAATAATATTTTGTAGTAATATTGCAATTTTCCTTTACAAACATGTGGCTATGGTTCTTTTTTTTAAACTTTATTTATTTTTATTTTCTTTGTATTGGTGTCTTGCCTGCATGTATGTCTGTGTGAGGGTGTCAGATTCCCTGGAACTGGAGTTACAGAGAATTGTGAGCTGCCATGTGGGTGCTGGGAATTGAATCTGGGTCCTCTGGAAAAACAGTCCATGCTCTGAGCCATCTCTCCAGTCCCCTTCTGTTACCTAAGAATTTTAATGCTTGGAATTAATAGTAAAAAGTTTTCAGTATCATATTTAAGATGATGCTCATTTCAGCTGTGTTTGCAATGCCTAAGTATAAGTATCTTATATGAGCAAAATAAGCAGAAGAATGCCCACAATAATTTCATTTCTAAATTTTTTTTTTTTTTCGAGACAGGGTTTCTCTGTGTAGCTTTGCGCCTTTCCTGGAACTCACTTGGTAGTCCAGGCTGGCCTCGAACTCACAGAGATCCGCCTGGCTCTGCCTCCCGAGTGCTGGGATTAAAGGCGTGCACCACCACCGCCCGGCTCATTTCTAAATTTTGGTAGTGATTATTGCAAATAAACTGAAGTCACCTATATTTTCTACTAAAAGAACCAAGCAAAATGACAAATGTTTCACATGGTACACCCAGTGACATGATGTCAAAATTCCATACTTCAGTTTTATGTATGTATATATATACATATATATATATATATATATGTATATGTGTGTATGTATATATTTTGCATATGTGTTCATGCTTGTGCTTGTGCATGTATGATTGATGAACATGTATGAAAACCTGAATTCTTTTTTCTGTGCCACAAAATTGAAATCTACATGGAAATCATAAGGGCAGATGAATAATTTCTCATAACTTACTCAAGTTCCACTTACAAAATTTGGTTCTTTTGGTTGAAACATTTGATGTATCCTGACTACCTTATTGAACAAATACCTTCTTTTGTACCAAATTATAACTCCATATTTACTGCATGATCAAATTCACTTAGATAATTTCTATTTCATATCTTTGGACATAATGTTAATGTTCATGAATATGCCCTGAGGGATGCCACTGGGTCCTTGAGCAGAAAGATAGGAAGCTAAGGCATGTAGAAAATGACATTGCCATTGACCATACAGAAGGTTTGAGGGGCCAAAAAATTGGATCTCCTTGCCAGGAAAATTTACCAGCTACCCACCACTCCATAGTCTCTGTGGAATGTGCTTCTTAACTGGGAGAAGGAGGTAGCTGTACTACTTGGGAAGTTACATTGGCAAGATGGGTTTGGAGTTGATGTTGGCTTGAGTAACACCCTCTTCCTTGCCAGGGCAAATCTGAGGCAGGGACTACAGAAGCAGTGAATTTTGAAGCACAACTAGAAACAGGATGGAGAATGTCTTTATCCTAGACAAATAAGCTAGCCTGGCAGGATCTGGTTCTGCTCATGTCTGAATCCTATGAAGTAGATGTATGATGCTCAGAAAGATACAATTTGAAAGCCTCCTTGTAGCTTATTTTAAGCTATTACCTTTGTGTATCATGGGTCAGGAGATCCATTTCAAAGAAGCCAGGATCATAAACATCTTCCAAATAACAAGAAATGTTGACCAGACAGGGAGTCACACAAGAGGTGGAAAACCTTAAGTAAAAGAGGTTGTATTAGACAGGTATTTTAGCTCAGAACAATGTCTCCCCAACCCCATGTGTGAACAAATCTTTCCATTCCTTTCTCATGTTTTGTTTCGTTGGAGCCTCATATATACACTTTAGAGGTATTGGCTCATCGGATATTCTTGTCCCTCCAATGAGATCCACACTATCAGTATCCCCATTTTATAGCTAGGAAAACAACACAAAGAGTCTAATTCACATACTCAGTTTCAAGAAACTACACAGGTATAACAGTCAGTGCAGGCCCCATAGGCCTCAAAGACTAGCAGTGGACTTCCCAGTACTTAAGGTATCATGAAGATATATTCAGATTGAAAAGATTTCAAGAAACAGCCTAATCATATGTCTGTGGCCTTCTTTGGCCCTTGATATTGAAAGTGATTAATAAAAACCATGTGGAAGACATAAAATACTTGCCTCTTTGTGTCTTGTATGAAGTCCAAATGTTAGTGTCTGCCAACTGTAACAAAAATGACTCTGAAAGTTCTCATGTTTCCTTGGCAACCAGAGAATAATGGCACATTGTGAGCAATGAGTCAGTGTTAGGCCATGTAGTCTTAAAGGATCACAGGAATTAATGTTCCTGTCATACGAAAAGTATTAAAGGAATAATTAACTTATTAATTTTTTAATTTAAAAAGATTCCATATACATCATAATTTGATCATGATTTTCCCCTTCAAAACTTTTTCTATTCCTTCTGTTTCCCTCATCTCTACCCACCTAACCTTCTGTGCTTTTGTGCTCTCTCTGTCTCTCTCCCTCTCTCTCCCTCCCTCCTTTCTCCAAAATAAATAAATAGATAGATAGATAAGCTACTAGACATACAAAAAATGCAAAATCAACACACAGCACAAGTTTTGTTTTGGCCAACTATTCCTGGTCATGAGGCCTACACTGGAATGCAGTGACTATGTACAGTTATATGCCATTGTACAAAACTGATTTTCTTTTTCCCAACAGGTATCAATTGCAAATAGCTTCTTGGTTAGTGGTGGTTCTTTGTGTCTACTGCACTGTTACACACTGGCATATAGTCTGGTTTGAATGAGTATGGGTCATGTGTGTGCTTTCAAAATCTCTCTGAGTTCTTATGTGATATCAGTCCTGTGGTGTCTCCAGGATACTATTTCCTAAGAGTTGTCCACAACCTCTGACTCCTACAATCTTTTTTAAATTAATATCATGAAATTTATTAATTGGATTAAGTGAGTGAAAATAATTATCTCATGAAATAGTAAGCAGGTTTTTTACTGTATTCAACTCCCATTCCATCACAGTTCTTACAGAATATTTCTAAAAACAGAATATTCAAAAATCATGATCCAACATTATATTTAATGACAACACTTTAGAAATTACCCCCGTATCGAGATCCAAGGCCAGGCACCAGGGTGAGCTCCGGGAATCCAACTGATGAGAGAGAGGAGAGATACTACAGGCGAGGGACATCGAGATCATGATGGGAGGATGTGTAGAGATGACCGGCCACCCTAGTGGAAACCCATGAACTGTGGACTGGTGGCTGTGGAGCACCCATGGGACTGGACTAGGCCCTCTGGATATGGAAGACGGTTGATTGGCTCGAACCTTTTGGGGGGGACCCAGGCAGGGGTATCGGGATCTGTCTCTGGTCTATGGGTAGCCTTCTCGAACCCGGTGCCTGCACAGCCTTGGTGCAGTGGGAAGGGGCTTGGACCTGCCTAGGCTCAGTGTGCTGGGCTCTGCTGACTCCCCATGGGAGACCTCGATTTGGGGGATGTGGGGATGTGGGGTGGCTTGGGAAAGAGGGCTGGGGGTGGGAGGAAAGAGGAGGGGGATCTGTGGAGAGTATGTGGAATGAGTAGAAAATTTCTTAATAAAGAAAAATTAAAGAAAAAAAAGAAATTACCCCTGTATCCAAGAAAATGTAAAGCTGTTTACTTTAAAAGCTCTTTACAATAACAGCACATGAAAACCTAGGAAAAATAAATTAAACTATTAGGACAGAAGTTACAAGTAGTATTTAAAATTATTTATTAGAATTTTTTACGAATTTCTTATATGAATACTATATTTCTATCATTTCCATTCCTCTCTCTCTTCCCTGTGCACAAAGCTTAAGTCCAAGTGGATCAAAGACCTCAACGTAAATCCAGTTACTCTGAACCTGAGAGAAGAGAAAGTAGGATCTATTCCTGTAACATTATCTCTTAAGTAGATAGTCTACAAGGGGATACAGAGGAAAAAGGCTAAACTTTTCAGGGGGCTAAGGAAGAAATAAAGAAGTCATGTATAATTCTACATTTTATAAGTGCATTTAACATTACAGACTGACACTGTGCAATTAATAAAATGGAAGGGTGTCAGTTTCATTCATAGTTCTAATCAGGAGAATGTATCAGTGTGGTAGGGGGTTTCCCCTGGTACAGTCTGTGAGTAACCATGGCAACATGAGGGAGCACATTCTGTGAATCAAGGGGCAAGGGCAAATAGCTCCCAGTACTTCAGCACTTTTGAAAAGGGCTGGCATTGAAAAGTGCCATAAATGTAAAAATACATTTTCTCATCCTTCGTGCAACTACAGAGCACAAGAAAAAGACATGTAACATTTTTATTCAAGGCTATAAGGCCAGACCATCCTCTGTAGTTCTGGCCACTTGTGAAGCCTTTCCCACTGATATCTGGGTATAAAGTTATTTCTCTCCAGAATTAGTTAACTGCTTTTTCCTGTTACCCACATAAATTCCAGGACTTAAACATAAACAGATAGTTAACTGAGCCTAAAATCTTTTACCATAAGCTGACGTTAGAGGTTAATACACAGTGTTAATTGCTAAAGGGTCTGAGTAGAGAGTGCTGCAGATTCACATTATCAGCTAAACCTGATGAGAGAAGCTGACATAGAAATTTAGGTCACTTTGTATCTGAAATACTTTGGTTCAACAAACCAGACATCTGTAATTCTGTCCTTGTGCATTATCTTTGAAAGTTTACCTTATGATCTATTCACAGAGACACTTGGTCTAGTTAATTATCTTCTCAGATGGCTAATAATATAAAACAGGATTCTACGTTTCTCATCATTTTATGGAACAAAAGCTTGACTATAAAAGCATAGTTTATTCACCCAAATTACACAATAAAAGAAGTCATCCTTCTATAAATTCACAGAAATAACTGCAAAAATTTGAAAAATACACTACCAATAGTTTTGGGAAGAGTCCCATGGCTATTTTTAGGTGGAAATTATGGTAGCACACAAGGGAACTGTGGACAGAAGCAGACAGTATTCACAGGGAATGGTCTCATAAGCCTTGCTTAGGAGTTTTCTCCATCAGATAGTTGTTCATCTGGTGAGTGGAAGTTATGAATATCAGCTGTCATCTACTGTGTATTCTTGTGGACCCCGAGACTAATCTTTATCAATTTTGATGGTATCATAGATTTTCTTCTCCTGTAGAAATAAAAGCAAAACCTCTTTCCCAATATAACATATACCCTGATTTCCATTCTGAGGTCAACACATCTTTAAAGTACACAGGATGATTTAATTCATTAGTTTTTCTGTCATCCAATGTCTCTCTATTGCTCTCATTCCTTTCTCATTACCATTAGGAAAATATAAAGTCAATAAAGCATTATGCAATTTATTTCTGGAGGTCTTAATTCCCCCTTTCTGTTTATTAAGCATATCTTTTAGAGTTCAATTAGATCTTTACATAACTGCTTGCCATGTAGGATTGTGTGGTATATGTATAATGTGCTTCATGTTGTAATATGCAAAAAAACTGTTTCATTTTACTACAGTCTTATGCTAGAGTATCGTCAATCTTAATTTGTACAGTTATCCCCATAATGGCCATAACTTCTCACAAATGTGTGTTTAACAAAGCAGTCTTTACAGAACTCAAAACAATTGTGCTGTGGGATGTTCTGTATGGCAAATGTGTTGCTGATTAGTCAATAAATAAAACACTGATTGGCCATTGGCTAGGCAGGAAATGTAGGCGGGACAAGGAGGAGAATAAAGCTGGGAAGTGGAAGGCTGAGTCAGAGAGACACTGCCAGCCGCCATGATGACAAACAGCATGTGAAGATGCCGGTAAGCCACGAGCCATGTGGCAAGGTATAGATTAATGGAAATGGATTAATTTAAGCTGAAAGAACAGTTAGCAAGAAGCCTGCCATGGCCATACAGTTTGTAACCAATATAAGTCTCTGTGTTTACTTGGTCGGGTTTGAGTGGCTGTGGGACTGGCAGGTGAGAGAGATTTGTCCTCACTGTGGGCCAGGCAGGAAAACTCTAGCTACACAATTGCCCATTGAAATCCTAAATATGTATCTACATTATGGTGTACATATTTTTATTTTCCAAACTGTGCAAAATAACACATGTCCATTTGCCAAATTTCATTTCGTTGGTTACCTTTTGGGTTATTTCCTGCAGGAAGTACAGTTTAGTTATACAAGGAACAAGTAGAACATGTTCCTACACTTTACTTGCCTTATTGCCAAGTGATGGAGAAATCCTTTTCAAGCCCTTGCTTTTGACCTGGTGTTTTTATGAAATTCTGAGGCTTCTAGCACATTTCCTAACAATAGTTCATCAATTTCATCATTATCTTGTGCTAGAGGTCCTGGTAGACCCATATGGGATCTAATATGTGTTCTATATAAGGGATGATTTCTATGTCTGATTATTTCTTGTAGCTGAATAAATAACAAGGTCAATTCTGTATCATCTGGAATAGTTCAGCAGTTTGAATATGTAAAACAACTCCTTATGAATATTGAGAGTCAGTAACTATATTAAGAGGTTCTGGAAAATTAAATAATACCATGAAAAGAGTATATAATTCTGATTGAGAACAGAATAATAAGGGCTTTTGAGCCACTTTATTCAA